CAAGGAAGTTTGGACAGATGTTCTCTAGGGAGATGGGTGACATAGTGACTTGTTCGCTGTCATGGCGTCGCATCAGATCAAGCGTTGTAAAGTTGAAACTGACCTCAAAGTTGAAACAGGGTGTCAATTTAGAAACATAAATGCGAAACGTCGTGACTCAAAACTTTGTAAGTTGAGGACTGCCTGTACTGTCTAATGCCAGACTCCATTATATGGTTTCTTTACAGAAGTCCTAGTTTAGGAAACAGTGGAACTGGCTTGCTTCTGTTATACTAGAAATGTGTGTAAATCAGGGACCTGGGAGCTTTTGTGGGGAGGTGAGAAGCCTCTATATGCTGCAGAGCAGATGTTTCCAAACATGGTTTTTTCTGGATTTTTAGAGACCAGGCTTGTGGTTATGGAAAGAACTTGGTTGCACCTTAGACTTGTCAGGCTCGGGTTGAGTCCTGGAGAGTACTGTTGATAACTTGAAAGCAGGAGAGAATTTGGCATGACTTTCAGTTTCCAGGGCACATTTACAGGAGTGTCAGTAAAAATATATATGTAAAATCTTGTGTGCAGGCTGAGCAAATTTAATCTTTAGATGTTAAGAGACTATAAATGTGGAAACGTGCACTGCCATGTTTGCAGTCCCCTTCCAAAGCAGAATTGTGTTTTCAGGAAATGATACACAGCAGATGGTTTCTTAGAGTAAGTGTTTAAGTTTCTTTGCACATCAGCAGTGTGATTGCCATCTCTCTTTTGTAATAAAGCTCAGCATTTGTTTTTTAACAGGCAATGTTTATTTTGATGTCAGATCTTGGGGAAACAAATATGGAAAGCTGACTAGTATTTATCCTGATGCACAAGAAGAAACAGGTATGCTGACATTCTTGACTAGTTTTATAGCAGTACTTCTTGTATCAGTCAAATGCTTCCTGAAATTTTGATTATCCTTTGAATGAAGTTCTAATAGTAATATCTGAAATGGTATGTACTGTGCTGTTACTACTATTTGATAACCATGGAGAATCTTTGCTGTTTTTTCTTACTGTGCGTTTAAGGATTCCACCTTTTCCCCAATTTTACTCTATTTACATATAGTTCTCTTACTGGAAAATTGGGAAGTTATTCTGTAACTAATGGATAACTTGTTCTTGGATTCAACGAATGATAAATTGTCTCTGCTGATTATTTTTTGCAAAGATAGCTTTGCAAAGACAGCCTGGATTATTTCTTGCAAAGAAATCTAAAGCCGGGCTAGCAGTGTGTTTTTTGTTTTCTGTCTTTTTAAAGAGAGGTAAGATTAGCCAAGATGCTGCTAGATTTTCCCCAAATGACTGGGGACTATATATTCCAGAGATTGATTCTGGCTGTTGTGGCATTCTATGGTGGATATTTTTCAAATGAGCTATTCAAACCAATTGTGTGCATGTCCTTTTTTGGCCTACTCTAGGAATGAGTTGCCCTGTGAGAAATCCCTTGTTTTGCACAAAGCAAAGCAATCTTGATGATCTTCAGTGACATGGAATTTGGATATATCATCTGTCTAGTACTGTAATGCAGGATCTTTTCCAAACAACTGTCTTAAAAACAGACTTGCCTATAGAAAGAATTATGGTAGTTATAGGGTCTTCTGTAGTCCTCTACCATAAAACCAATATGTGTAATAGTTTCCAGGTGCTCTGGTAGGTTCTGGTTGGGACAGTCTTGGCTTCCTTGCTAGGTACAGCATATAGAAAATGTTCAGCTGCATCTATCCTTGCTTGCAGCTCATGACTTTTTTTTTCCTTTCCCTTGAAGTTAATATCCTCCCTTCCTTCACAATGACCTTGGGCCTGTCTGCCTGTGATGGACCCAGATTTAATTGGTCCCTGGTGGTTTCTTGTGTGTTGAGCTTGTTAAATGTGCAGCAGACCCTAGGACATAAGTGAGTGCTATTTTAAAGGCAGTGTATAGCTTGCAGCAAGGTGGACCTGACTAATTCCTCACATGGAAGCATTTGGCATAAGTTTTCAGTGTGGGTAATACTGTTTAAAATTTACCATTCCTTACTTTAAAAAAAAATCTTGTTGGGATTGCTGAACAAGTGCAAGAGAGCAAGGTA